CCTCTCGTATTGCTCACTGGCTGTCTTAGATAATCCTCTACTGCTCTTGTGGAGCTCTTTCTTTCAGTGGACTGTCTCTACTCTTACCAGCAATGTGAAATAGCAAAACAAAACACTTCTTCCTATTTAGACCTCTGAAAACAGGTGGTTTTTTTCTTTTTTTTTTAATGAAATCTTGTTAAAAAAAAAAAAACACCCATTGGTTCATAGCTGATATGGAAGATTCCAGTACAGATGGTTAATTTGGCAAATGCACAAGCAACTGAAAACAGACATTTCTTCTGGAAAGAAATATACCATTTCTTTCATTTATAGGGACCAAGTATTGCCTGTTGTGGTTAAAATTCAGCAAAAGTCTGGACCAAGCTGTTGGCTGTCTATGAATACAGTGATGATAGAAACAAAAACAACAACAACAACCCCTCCCCCCCAAAAAAAACACTTCAATAACACTTCAGTCAAATCCAGAATCCTCTCTACCCTTAAACTTCTCTGTTTCAGAAGACAAAGTGCATTTGCTCCTCCAAAAGGTAGCCAAAATATGCCACTTCATAAGCATGTGTTCAGCAGTGCAATGCAACAACGCACCTAGGAACAGTTTTCAAGTTCATATCAAGGCAAGCAGAACAAGATCAAGGTACTAAAAATGATGAAAAAGGGCTAGTTGAGGAGACCAGTTTGCTTTCTTGCTGTCTGCTTCACTGATGACAAGAAATCCTAGTGTGGTTTTAAAATCATTGTGCAGCCTGCGGGAACCATCCCTGCTAAGGAAACTTGTCCAGGCACAGAAAATTCACTGCTTCCTCCTAGCTTCTTGTGCCATAAGTTAGATTGCTTCTCATCATATAAAAGAAAAGCCCCATCAAGTGATATAATTTTGCCATTTAGAAATCTCACTGTACTCTCTAACCTTTGGCTATCAGTTTTATCCTACTGCTTATTGCTGTCAGGGACACTCAGCCCCTTTTGGCAATTAAGGTTTTCATACTTCCTTTGCGAGATGAATTTTTAAATGAGTTTGGAGAGAAAAAACACAAAAACCAAACACCTTGACTATAGCATGAATAACACTGTAGCTAAGTTTAATTTCTTTGTATAATTCCCTATATAACTTCATCATCAAGTGCATTTCTATTGTGCGGTGGGAGTTTCAGTGCCCATCAAAGAACTGCAAATAGGAGCTTCTGTGACAACAGGATTTGTACTCCTGGCACTGCACAGACTTTGTGCTGGCAAGGACTTCATTTCTGCCCAGGAGCAGAATTACTGTGAGCATTAATTGGGTTCCAGCCCCTGCTGGGACACGCTGATGCACATCACATGGTACCGGCTCCCTTCCTGTTCACTCGGAGAGCGAGTCTGCCGCAGATCGAGCCCGTCTGTCACTCCTGGGACGGGCTCTGAACAACCTCCTTGCGCTGAATCTTACACAGAAGCAGAGGTGTCTCAAACCAAGCCTCAGATTCAGACAGCTGTTGTGAGAGACCTGGGCTGATCTGATGTTTAATGTCCACAGCAGCCGACTATTCCACAAAGGGGTTTTTCCTACCTGCTCTTGTAGCTCCACAAAACATATGGTGATGACAACCCACACATAGACCAACTGCAAGTCAAAGGCATTCGATATCTGTGTCAGAAAACATTGTCCTCACTCAGGCAGAGTCAAACTATAAACCTTTCTACATGGTCGCTATAGGGCTATCAAACAACTTGGTGGTAACTTACTAATATATGAAGTATATGAAACATAGACTCACTCTTAACCTTCTGCTAGTCAGTGACAATACAATGCCAATCTTCAGAAATGAAGACAGAGGAGGGAGGCCTTGACATGTTCAGAAACCACAGTGTGAGCATTGCTTTGCCAAGAGGAACCATATATAACCATAATGTTCAGATTCATCATCATCCAAACTGCAGATTCTCCATCTCACTTTATGCAGCTATTGGGTATCAGCAAATGACTTTTCTGATTACCTAGATGGCTTTTTGCCCAGTGGGCCTCTACATATATTTTAAAGTAGCTCTTCTCTGAAAAAGAAATGATCCTTAACACAGAATTTTTAGTCTAATATGTAAATATATGGACGGCTACATGATGTTAGCACTTAAAAATCTGCAAAAAAAGCAGCTTTTCACCCTTAAGTATCAGTCTGTGTCTGTCTTTCTTCTACTCTTCTCCCAGGAAAAAAGGTCCTATTAATTTCAATGAAAGTTTCAACAGATAAGGTCATGCTTTTTGGTCCCAGTAATGTTACTTTTGACATTTAAAATAATTGAATCTATTGTTGCAGCAAATTAGAGGCTAAGAAAATACTTACATGAGTATTTAACTTTAATAATTAGTAGGAAATGCAGGTGGGAAAGCTTGGGTGCATGCCTACAGGATGCTAATGTGAGGTTTTTTTGAATCATCACATTTATCAGTGCACTAGAAGAAAATAAGACTGTATTAGAAAGTTTCATGCTGGCTCTCATTATGCCATCTTGTAGGCTTGTCCTTTGATTTATTATAAAAACTAAAGAAATTTTCTCAGTGCGACTGGAGGTATTAGATTACAGCTCATGGAAATTCTGGTAAAAAAATGGCATTTTTGGGGGTGCAGAATCTTTTATTTGACATATCCGGGCTTCAGCTAACACTGTGAAATTCCAGGGCTGGGGCTGGCTGGCTGTTCCCACGGGGTGGGATGATGGAAACCGTGGGCTCCCTAGCTCTGATATAGTCTAGGATCACATCTCTCCCAGCGGTTCCTGCAGAGCGCTCAGCACATTTGACATCCTTGTCAATTCTGCAGCAGTTATTAGCAGGCGAGCTGAGAAGAATACCAATTTTGCAGAGCAGCTGCAGGATACTGCTGGCTTACTAGAAATGAAAATTAAGAAGAAAAAAAATTGGTTTTGGATTCAACTCAGATCAAACTGCAATCAACAAACATTTCCTGCAAACTGGAGACCCTGTTTTTAAATTAATTCTCTGGGCACAGAAGTCCATTTCACAGGGGAGGACATGATATGCTGGCTTTTCTGGTAAACCTTCTTACTATTCTAAGGAAAAGAAATATATGTTTTTACTCTGGTTTTACTCACTGTGCCCTTCTGAAATGCTTTGGTAATTGAGGCAGAACATACAAATAAATAGTAGGGAGGCTGTTGCAGTGCTAAGCCACAGAAGCACAGAATGGTTGAGGTTGGAAGGAACCTTGGGAGATCATCTAGTCCAAATCCCTGCACAAGCAGGGACACCTAGACCACATGGCACAGGGTGGCATCCAGGTGGGTTTGGAAGACCTCCAGAGAAGGAGACTCCACAGCCTCTCTGGGCAGCCTGTGCCAGGACTCTTCGCAGTCAAGAAATTTTTCCTCGTGTTCAGGTGGAGCTTCCTGTGTTTCAGTGTGTGGCCATTGCCTCGTGTTCTACAGCTACTGAAAAGAGTCTGGCCCCATCCTTTTGACAACTTCCCTTAAGGTATTATCCACACTGATAAGGTCCCCTCTCAGGCTTCTCTTCTTTAGGCTGGACAGTCCAGTCTCTCTGTCTCATAGGGGAGATGCTCCAGTCCCCAAGTCCTGCACTGCTGTGGTGATGCTACTAGGTGTAACCAACCCTGAACACTGTCTTCATATTAGTTGCCACCAAAGCGTCCACATATCCAGAAGTGCCTGAGAGATGTAAGATTTTCACTGAATGCTGCACTATGGATACAGAACATTGAAAGACAAGGCATTTGCTTTGCTGGAACATGTCATTTTGGTGACAATAGCTTCCCAAATGTCAAGTCAACAAATTAGATCATCACTCAGAGTAATACAGCCAACTATTTCAATTTATTAGGCTTTGTCTGACAAAGCGGGGAGCAGCTTATACAGCATATAGTAAAGAATGCTGCTAGGTATGGAAACTGAAAACTCTTGTTCCTGCTTTCAACCATTACCTTATGCAAGAATTCACATTTATCTAAATGAGGTTTCTTGTGATTATGGATCATTTAAATAAGAATTGATGTGGGTATCAGAAGGTAAATGCAAGTTCTCCCTAAAAGCTTCCACTGTATAATAAGCAGGGCATGGTTGTATGTTTGGCTTCTGCTGGACTTAAAGATGCAAAATCTGCAGTGCTTGGTTTCTAGTCTAGCAAGAACAATTAGAAATCAGGAAATTAGAAGAAAACTCATGTGTTCTCACAGTCAATCTAGGCTCTGGACTGGCAGAAACACATACTCTAATTGTTAGTCATCATTGAGGAACACAGAAAAAAAACATTCTAAATAAATAAAAATGCCAAAAAGCTGAAAAACAACACCAAAAAACAAACAAACAAACAAACCAAAACCAAAAAACAACCAAAAAAACGAGGTATAAACCCAGCAAGTAAATGAGCACCCGGATCTGGGTTTCTGCGTCAGACCAGTTTATAATAATAATTAAAAAAAAATCAGAAAAAAAAGTCTTTTTCTTTTCTATTTTTCAAGTCTTAAGCTGAAAATGTTAAACAGAAACAGGACAGGGGAAGGAGAGAGATTTGCTTTTACTCAGAGAACCAATGACACGTCATTACTCTCCAATGGAACAGATTATTTATGGTTATGGAAGTTGCTTAGCAAAATGTCAAGTCTTTTGTTACATATTTTTCTTGGTCCTCTATTAGCACTTAGAGACCTTGAACGTGGCTACATCCTCCACTAGCTCTGTGCTTTTATACTGCCATTTCCTTTACTAATCTGCTAAATCTATTTCACAACATTTTTTTTTTCTGGGTTGTTGCCTCAGTCTAATCTCAGAACCTGAAAATGTGACTTTGGCAAGCTGCTTTGTCAGGTTTAGCACACAGAGAACTTTTTAGGAAACAGCTGGTAAGAAAATTAAGGATCTTTTGGATTCTGATATATCCCTGCCAGCCAGGTTTCAGCAGTTTTAAAAGCACATATAAGGTGGAGCTGCATTCCTGATTGCATTGACTTGCCATAAGATACATGAACCAACCCGACTGCGCCTATTACCTGCAGAAGTGTGCTTAAATTTTTCACTCTTCTTCTTCCTCCATTTCCAGGGCTTAAAGAGCCTCCCAAGGGTGGCAAATTTGCTCCTTCTTCTGATCGGAGGTGTGTGGGTTCCAGGGACTAGGGAATCTGAACGCATTGCAGCCAGTCTTTCCACTTCCTCTGCTGTAGTTTCCACACACACATAAAAAGAAAGAAAGAAAGAAAAAAGGGGGATAGATGTTTAATAAGTTATCTAAAAACAATACTCATAGTCAAAGTTTTCCATGTCGGCAGAGAACAGTTTAAAAAAATGGGGGAGGTGGAAGGAAGTAGTATTTATTATTTAAATGTTACTGTCTTTCCTTTCTAGTCGAATCAATGCTCTGCTGTAAGCACCCGTATTATGAATCAGATTGAACACCAACGTGGATTATTACACCAGTAAAGTCGTGATCTTCAACCCGTTGCTCTGCATAGCTATAGACAGCAGAGCCCACCCGACAGCCCACAATTTCCCCCAACTTAAAAATGTAAATTGCACAAATTTTTAGATATTATCTTGGACATTTTCAATATTAAAAGCAAACAAAAACCACTCCCCTCTTCTCTCCCCCAAACTGAAGGACTTAAATCTTCCTTCTGAGAGGAATACCTGCACAATTCAACGAGCATACAAGAGGGGATTTTTGAGGGAAAATCATGTAATTTCCCAAGCCTGTGCTCTAATGCAACAGTGCCAGTAAAACTAATTTTAATGGTTTGCACTAACACAATTTAGCTCATAAAGACAGGGCACAGATCTCCATCAGCCCCAGACTAAAGACAGTAGCCAGTGTTTCCAGTTCACCTGTAAAAGATGAGCACAAGATCAGTAACCCCGATAAGAACATTGAAGCTATGAAGGGATGGACATATCTGCTTGGATATCCTTGTGTGTTCTGATGGAAAATTTTCAGATGAAATGAATGCTGAATTTAATTTAGTTTTTGTGGAACAGCCAGAAACAAATCTCCTGCACAACGACAATTCCATTATTGAAGTTCCAAACTAGAAAGTTATTTGAGCTCCTCATGTTTTTTGCAAGACTGTTGTTTTTTTACTATTGCTTTCTTTTAAAAGAAACATGGACAACACAATTCTTTTTCCTCTAAAAATCTCTGTCAGATACAGCTGCCTAAAACTTTCCAGGGAAAAAAAACTAGTCAGCAACAGACAGCCATCACAAACCATTTCATAGGAAAGTGTTAAAAACAACAGTTTTCTGAGATAACAGGGAGACAGAGAGACATTTCTAAGCATCCTTTAGTTGCAATGAGAGCAAAGAAGGAAAAGGTGGTTGGGTCAAAGCATTTCATTGCCTTGCAGCAGTGCACGTGGTGCCAACAGCCTCTCTTCCACACAGCACCCTGTACCAGAGAGCATCCTAGGCAGGGCTGGGGACACACTGCACCAAGCCTGGAAACTGCCAAACAAACTGGGAGGGTAAAGAGCAGAGGAAATCAGAAGTTTCCTTTCACCTTCTTTTCTTCACTGTAACGTGCTGGGCTTTAAAAATCATACGGGGTATAAACCACGTAACCCTCCATGCAAGGAGCCTTTCCCTTCCTCCCTTTTTAAGGTATGTCTAGCTAAAGCACATAAGATCACTCCATAGTCCATGGCTGGGATTTTTTTTCAGAGATGCTGTTAGAGGCAGTGGGCTGGTCTTTCTTCCCCTCTGCTTGTTTCCTGGGGGAATAGGCGCAGCCCACAGAACAAACTGGGAATGACAAGCTACTGTTGCTAAATTAGGCTTTCTGAAACCTAAACCCGCAATGGAAATACCACATAACGCTTCTAGCTTGCTCACCCGCCCTCCTGTGCTCCTCCCTGAAGCACCAGTGCCGCTACGGAGGTCCCCTACAGCCACTGATCCTCAGAGCTCCCATGACTCCTCCTTGAAAGCAAGTCCTAACTGGCCAGGCCCACAGGAACTGAAATTCCTTAAAAATTCCTTCCCTCATAAGAGAGCTTATTACCCACCAGCTGTGCTCTCCCTGCCCCCAGGAAGGTTTACTCGCTCACAGCAAGCTGGGATGGATTCACGGTCAGGCAAAGCTAACACTGGAGTCAGAAGTAATTTACCCAAAGGGTGGGTTCATTACGAGCCAAAGAGTGTCAGAACCATTTCCATATTTTGACTATTCCTCCTTGAATCTGAGCATCTTGTCTCACACAGAGCTCTCCTGCACTCCAGGAGCCCTGCTGTGCCATGAAGAGATGATGTGGCTCTTCTTCAGCCTCGCCAAAACACACACAGCTCTGAGCTAATGCAAATAACAGCTTTTTCCCCCCCTTGCTTCAATTTTTTTTTACAAGGACTATCTCATTTTTCATGAAATAAGCTTTCAAAGACAGTGCTAATTCAAAGCATAATAATCACTGGCTAGGAATGAGCTACAATAACATAAAACCACACCAGTCTTAATAAAGCGAGAGTAAAGCCAGACTGCAGCGCAATAAGTAAAAGCTGTATTCCTGCATTCTTGCTTTCTGCTGCAGCTTTTGCTCGAGTTGGCCGGGTTTCTTCTGCCTTTTTGGCTCCTAATGACTATTGCCGAGCTGTGTGCTATGACATCCACTGCTGGCAGCAGGCTCTGTGGGCTGCTTTCACACCCTTGCTCTTCCCCCAAAAAAGATGGCACTTGCACGAATGCAAACCAACCCAGACCTGCACATTTATTGCTTTCAGAGTGAAAAGCAGTCCCAGCTGGATGAGTTTGCTGAACTGGGGAAGGCAAATGGCCATATGCATTAGTGCCTGCCATCACACTGCTCAGGTCTTCCATTTAGGCTGGTGTCACAAGCCCAAGATGATATTTATGGGACGCATTGCTGCTGATGCTCTCTGCTTTTGGGAACTTGTTCTGAGTTTATTCCAGAATCTGAAAGGTCTTGCAGAGGAAGTGTAGAGACGCTGCATAGTTCCAAAAAGACCTGCACCCCTGGCAAGAAGGAGATGTGCTTCCCTCTCTATTTTATGCATCCAAACTGTCATCCCGGGATAGCATTGGTGAAAGTAAATGTAACAGCTTTTAATGGGCTGCTTGGTTATGAGACAGTTCTGAAGATTTTACTGTAAACCTCAAAGTATTTGAAATTCATACAGACTTAAGGGCTTAAGCAAGATTCAAGTTTTTCATTAGAAAAAGCACCACAGATCATAAATCCTATTTTGCATTCAAGTGATTAAAAGATTTTTTTCATTGTTACAACATACTACAAAGACTTTAAAAGCTGGAAAATATAAAAGGTATTTTCTTATCTTCTTTGGAAGGTACGCCTGGGTTTTGGCTTATTTATTTTGGCTTTATTTTCAAATTTGTTTCTAATGATCTCCTATCATAAGGTTTCATTTGAGCTCTACACCATTAGAGCTACACACAGACATTAGACTACACACAGACGTTGCTTTGAAAGCTCTGCTCAGCACAAGTAGAAGGGCCATATGTCTTTTTGACACAACAGTAAACCAGAACAGCTACTCTAATTGCTGAGCACTTACCTGAACACTGTCAATTAAAAAAAAAAAAGGGAAAAAATAAAAAGTGCATATTCCTTTCAGGAAAATGTATCCTTCTCCACTCTTCCATTATCATCTGTAGTGTTATTTCCCTTTAATTTCCCTTTGCACCTGGAATTATTTTTCATCAGCCCTCCCTCTACTACTTGAATTGCCAGGCAGGGCTGATTCCCTCTTTGGTTGACAACTGCTCCCACTGGACGGATGCATTTGCCATTGCAAAAATGTCACCAAATGGGGTGGCGTAGTCTGTTCATGAGCCATGAAGAGACTGTCAGCACCTCAGCTTTGTATCTCAGCAGTGCTCACACATTCCAAATTGTTGATGCTTATTACCACTTCCCTAGTGCGTGTTGCTTTACAGCATACCTGTAAACTGAACCTTGTATCATTTACATTTGCCCCTTTTGGTAGATACTCGATCACGCTTTGGCACCACATTCTGCTGTTTTACAGAGTACGTGTCTCTCTTGCTGGAAGAGAAGTGCAAAGAATAGCTTTAGAGGTCTAATCCCTTTAGGACCCTGCTATTGACTTCCCCCACACTTTGACGTAAAAGGTTAATTATTCATGCTGACTGCAATCTGAAAGCTGTGTTTTAACCTCTGAAAACCGCACTGTATTGCAAGCATCCCTACGTATTTACTGATACAAAATTTCTCCAAAAAATGTGGGTTTTTTTTGTAAGATGTAACAAAAGAGCCTTATGAGATTATGTCATTAATAGCTACATAATCTCTTCCTACAAACCTTGTAATTATAGAAAATAGGGATTATTAGGTTTGACTAGCATCAGCTGTTTTGTCTGTCCTTTACCGCTCTTATTACTCACTCCGTTTTTTATCTTGTATCTGTTTATTGCATATAGATTTAGGGCTAAATCCACTAAAGAGTGCTACAGCTCTAAAATTTTGAGTGCCTGGACATAGGGATAGAATCCAGAGATCTGCTCCAGGCATCAATATGTGGAGACTCAGCTGCTCCAAAATGGGATCCAGAACAACCCTCAGAAGTGCAGTGCAACCAAAGGGCAGCCAGGAGGAAAATGGCAGGGGCAAATCTCACTTTTCCTAAGGATACAAGAATGCAATTACACACATAACCGGAATCCTTGCCTTGGGCAGCAATTCTACCTTGAAAAGAAGGGAACTCTTTCCTTTCCTAAAAGGCCCACAGGGAAGAGGTGCACAGCTTGTGCTTGCAATTAAGCAGAAGAAGTGGGATGGAAGCGGATGGCAAGGACTTTTGTGCCACTGCTAGACTACGTGTTTAGGAGAATCACAGGATCACTCTTATCCCACATCTCCCAGTTGCGTTGGTAACAGTAGCACACGTCACGATGCAATCCCTGATGGGAGTGCTCTCCATCTCTCCTACTAAAACTGTGCCATTGTAAGGCAGAATTCCAAACCTACTGTCTGAAAGAAAACACGAGCAGAGGCATGGTCAGGGCACACATCTGTGAGCATAAAGGGGCTTCTTCTGAGCCTATTTCTGGTCTTTACCTTGGATTAAATAATCCTGACCATTTGTGCATGAAGGAGAATAAGAGAGGGAAAGTTGCTTCCTCTCACTGTCACTTGCTTTTACTTCTGGTATTGGATATCTGTGTCATGAGGGG